TCCCCTCCCCTCTCCCCTACTCTACCCTCCCCGCCTCACCTCGCCTTCCTTTTTCCCTTCCTTCTTTCCTTCCTTCCTATCACTCTCTCCCTTCTGCCTCCCTGCCCTCCTTCCTTCTTTTGCTTCCTGCCTTCCCTTTCTCCCTTATTTCTTCACTCCCTTTCTTCCCTTTCTCTCCTTCCACTTTCCTCCCTCGTTTCCTCCTAGCAGCACTGAACAAAGAGACTTCTTCTCCAGAGTGTATTTTTCTTACAGCATGGAGTTTTGTAAGTTAATACAGAGCTCTCGCTGTGGAAAACCATTTAACTGAATTAAATACTAGCTAAAGCTCTGGCGCTTGTTGTGATGCATTACTGTGCAATATAGTTAAAGCTCGTACATTGTATGAATCCGGCAATTTAGAATATAAGAAAAATTTCCCTCCATAGCCTGAGTTCCATTTCTCTTTGGCCCCAAAAGTGATTTAAATACACTTCACTGGTATATATGCTTCTGCAGCTGTTTCATTGAAAAGTGCCAATATCACATCAAGTGGCAGTTTTGTCATGAAGTTTTTTAATTTTGTAGAATGGTTCAAGTGAGAAAAGGGAAGTGAGGCAATTCCAGTTCACTGCCTGGCCTGACCATGGTGTCCCAGAACACCCAACACCGTTCTTAGCTTTCCTGCGACGAGTCAAGACCTGCAACCCACCTGATGCTGGACCTATGGTTGTACATTGCAGGTAAGCTCAGAATTTCTTTCAAAGCATCTTATGTCACTGCTTTCTGTTTTGCTGCAGATGAAAACTTTATCTTCTTTCAAAGAGCCTTCTAAGTCTGTCAAAGAAAAAGATGGTTGCATTGCAAATTTGGGACCTGAGTATGGCACTGCCAACTTGGATGGGCCACGACTATTTTCTTTGGTCTGTGCAAGAGGAATTAATTTTAGAGTATCTAAAGGTCTACAGGGAGAATGTCTGCAGGGAGAGTACAAATGTACCTATGGCATTCAGAAGGTGACATGAAAAAGAAAGAGGATAGTGTTCATTTAAGAACCTGAATATTGAAGAAAGTGTGTTTTAAGCAATGAATTAGCTTTTGAAATTACTACTTATATTGTGTATGAAAGTAAAGAACGTGAAAATTAAGAAAGTTTAATGGCAACTTTTACTGAAAATAGGTAGAAACCTTAATCTGTATTCAAGGTTATACCCTCAGCTTAGGACTGTGAGGAGCTGGAACTGCAAAAGATGTACCTGGGGAACAGGCTGAGCTCAGTTCAAGGGAAACGAGTGCTGCATGCTGTTTGCAACGTAGCACACCTCTTTAGGCATTATAAGGCATGAATTAATAAACTCTCAGGAGAAAAACATCAGCTCCTCTTAAAGTTCTGTGAGAAGGAAAATGAGGAGGAAGAGATGGGGATTCTTTGGAAATCTTTGACAAGAGCAGATCTTTTAGAAAGCCTTAAAATCACATTCATAAGAACATTGTCAGAACATATGTGCCAATTCTGATAGAAGTAAGCTGTAAGATGGCTCTACCTCATTCCAGGGCTGTGTTGTTATAGGTTACATAGCTTACTGTGTTGGCCATTTCAAAGCAAATTCCTAAGATCACCGACTTTTGTGAATTTCACTTAGGGATACCTTCAGTTAGTAAGGCTGAGGCCTACTAATCCCTGTTCACTGAAGCTACAAATGCTTAGCATATTTGAAAACCAACCTTGCTTTTGTCATCCAAAAACTGAGGAATAGGAATTACAAGGATTACAGCATACCACCCCCTCTAGTTCTGGCTTCTTGCATATTGGTAAGCCAGACATGGAAGCTGGTTATTTGAACATTTTTAAAGTGATTAAAAGACGCTTTTGTAAATGAGACAGGAAAATAAAGTCAACATGAAAACAAAATAAGCAGGACTTCAATGTTGAAAGGCACAGACTGTTTAGAAAAGATCAGAGAACGTGGAGGATAGACATTTAATGTTTTTTGAAACACCAGGGTTAAGAATGTGGAATAAATACAAATAATAATACAAATCTATTTATACAGTTTGCTGAGTATTTCTTGAATGGAGCCAAATCTTTTTGTACCTGTATTTACAGGGTCTTAAAACATTCTTATTATTGCCTAGAATTATAGATTGCCTCAGCTATAATTTCATCAGCTTGATCCATATAGAGCATAACTCCAAAGGTGCTCAGCAGTGAAGATGTTATGATCTAGATCAAAACCAAAATTAATAGAAGAAATGAATCCTCACACTCTGGAAAGGCTGTTAAGTTAGTATAACTATTACCTAAATTCTCTCAATGCAAAAATAGATTAATTAAATTCACTGTTAAGAGTCATACAGCAAGTCATTGGAAAAGATAAAATAAAATACAAAGCTTATTATCACTCAGACGTATTGATGAACTGCAAGGTCATTATTTCTCTTTGCTATTGGTTATGCATGCAAATTTCAGTGAAAGCGGTGTTCATCATAATTTGATGCCTGTTGAGGGACTTTTTTTTCCCAATTTCCTATGATTTATTTATCGATAGCCTACAATTCGCATATCCTGGTAGTAAATTTGTTGAAGCTCTTTGCCTTATGTGTAGCTTCTTGAGACATTAAGATTTTAGGCATTTCATATAACCTATCCTCTACAAAGCAGACTTCCACATATTCTTTTATTTTAACAAGCCTTTTGAATCCTACTCCCAACAATTTGTCCATGACCAGAACTAATGAAACCAGATCTCTTGCAAATTTACAAATTTATGTCATTGTATTTAAAAATTTTATGTGGCTGGGCATGTAGCAGCAAGTGTTGTGGACAGTCCAAAGTTTACGAATGTACTCATTAAGTCATCGATGTTAATGTGCTGACTATCTAACTGATGACCAAGAATAAGCTACTAAAGTCTTATAGTAGCAGTGTTAATGTGCGTGTCTCTTTTCAAGCATATTGTAGCAACATTATCTTTTGAGATTATTATTGCCTTATCATTTTGAATGTGACATTATTAAATTGGTAAAAAAAATCAGAAGAACAGCAACAACAGAGCATCAGCACAATTTTTTTTGCTAAAAGTTATCTTTCATTCAGCAACATGAAAAACTTTCACATTTAGTTCGAAATTAAAGTATTGGACATGACTAAACATTTCAAGCTCAGAAAAACTTTAATTTTATGCTGAAACAGAAAAAGCAAGTTTTGCACGTTACCTATTTTTTCTTAGAACCTACTTTCAGATTTTTCTTTCCTCTCTTTTTCTGTTGCTCAATTCATAAATTTCTCCATTCCACTCTCCTTTTCTTCTTATCCTCCGTCATTTCACTTTTTTTTCCATTTTTTTTCTCTCCAGTGTCTGGACTGCTCTTTATTCCATGGACTCGTCTAATTATGTTCTATTTCTGTCCTTCAATTCCAGTATTTTCTCAAACTCATTTCACTGTTTTTTACCATATTGCTGAACCATTTCAATATGAAATGTGTTCCCACATGTCTTCGTATTTTCTCTGAAGAAAGATGGTCATTCTAATGGTAGCACTCTGCTAATTTTTGTCATGCATCACCTTTCACCGCTTTATAGTAGTCCCCCTTTTCCACTGAGATACTTTATCTATTCTTGACAAACTTCTTTCTTTTCACTTTTTCCTTTGCTGGCCCCTAGTCTGCCTCTGCAGCCTTTTAAAAGAGTCCTCTTTTCCTTTTTCTGTATCTTATCCGTCACTGTCTTCCATTTTGTGTTTAGGACTCCCTAAGCCCCTTTTCATTAAATCTCATGTAGTACCATCATTCAGATATTAAAAGTATTTCAAACTTTCTCCACTATAGCAAAACATTATAATACAAGACCATATCTTGTATCCTTTGCCTATGGTAGGCAGTGCTTTTCCAAGATATCCCACTGAAGGAATAATCTGAGTTTACTCCCCAGCGGGGACATGGGATTCATAGTGGGGAGTGTAAGACATCTGAGACAGCACTGATACCTTATTTTCTGTTTCTTCCAGTACCTAACAAACTGTCAGAGCTCAGGAAATTATAATAATGGCATGTTATAGAAGTATAAATACAAGAGGGTTTACCTTTCAAAATATGTTTGGTAAAAAGAAAGAGCAGGTATGAAGAAGCTGTAGCAGCATTTTTCTGCAAAGCTTTTAACCCATAAAAAAAGGAAAATAAAAGCCAGCAGGCAATTAAGTACCTGGAGAAGCTACTTGTCTATAATATGTCTGTGAATTTAGCTCAGAGTTTCTTACTTCTCAAAAGCTGAGCTCCTTTTCACTTTTGATTCAGGTTCAAAACCCAGTAAAAGCAACAGGAGCCTGCTGGATAAGGAATAAATAAAAGAGCTGCCTGCATTTTGATCCTTGGAGAGTAACCCCCTATTTATTCTGCATTATAAGTAGGTATTGTAAATGAAAAGTTTAGCCCAAGCTTTTCCTGACTGCATTCTCCACATCTGCCCTAATATTGACCAACAGTTGTCTTTGAGTCCACTTCATGTAAAGAGATTAAGAGGTTTTTCCAATTCGGTTGGTGGTTTTGGGATATGGCTATATATCCTATAGAGAATCAAGGTAGTTGGAGATCCAGTTCACGAGTGTGGCCCCAGACCAGTTTGTATCAAAGCCTCAGTAGCTGATAAGCTTCTTTAATATCCTGTTCCTAGGAAATGGTTGTTGAGTGTATGAAGAATTTATTTAATAACTTCCAGTGTGCTTAGTGGGAAAAAGTCTGAGGTGAAAACAAGAGACAACTGAAGAACCTACCCTGTAAACATTTGAATGCATTCTATTCACATAACAGTGACCAGAAAAACATGCATAGTCCTAACTGATGAAATTAACTGTCAGTATAATATAAGTATTACCATTCAAAATCACTAGACTTTTTAAGACATGTTCTGATAAATGTATGTCAAACAAATGCAAGCAGAAGTCTTCATAACAAATTTTGTGTAATGACAGCAAAGAAAAATACAGAATTATATGATCAGAAATTATGATAACATTAGTAATTACTTTTTACTAATGTCCATGCAATTGACATCTGTGCATGTCATTTACACATCTACTTTTGATAATTAACAGTTTGTTTGCCTGTGCAGTATTGAATTTGAATCAATATAGAAGTCAAAAACATGTTGAGAAATGTCATATGTGCATTCTACCAGTCAAAGCTCTTACTTGTGCAGAAAAGTTGGCAGATTTTTAAGCTGAAAAGGTAATTAAAATATAATTAAAGCTACATTATTTTTAAGGAGAAAACATAGATCATTGCTGAAAGGATTGTGAAGGACCAAAGGTAACATCAAGGCCTAATCTAAATGCAGATTTTTTATTTATGTAATCAGATATTCTGGTAGGACTACCTGTATGAAAAAGGTGTAGTGGTAATAATATAAATGCACAATGCCATTGCACTCTTTTTCCAGGAAAAAATCTATACTTTTCTGTCTATATCCACCCGGAAAGAGAGTTTAGCAAGGCCCAAATCAACATAAAGTTAAATTTAGAAATAGACTTTTTATAAACTGCCATGTTCCATGATCCTTGCTTGAGTTACATTCTCCCAAAGACAGCAGTATCATTATTTTCAGTGTGAGATTTGCTAGAGGCAAGCAGCTAAATCAAAGGTAAAGATGCAAAAAAAAAATAATAACACAAAAGAAATTTAGCAATCCCATCCTGTTTGTAGATACTTTACATAATTGTGTTCAAATCTTGACTTGGCTTGTTTAGA